GCACACACTCTCTGACTGAAACACACACACACATATACATACATACACACATTTTCTCACACACTCACAAATTGCTATTTTTATTTTTAATTAAATTCACCCAGCCTCCCTACCTTTCTGAGAGCTGAGTGGATTTTTCCCTGGTGCCCAGTGTGTCTCCACTCAATCTTCCTGCAGTCTCTCTCTGCTTCCTTGCGCGCTCTCTGTAGAAATGCCGGGGCTGGAGTGGCGTCATGTCACTAAATAGCACGCAAGGTAGCAGAGAGGAACTGCAGGAAGGTTACAGCTCCTTCGCGCACCGCCTCCATTCTTCCCGCGACGGATGGCTTTAATGTTTCCTGCGCTGCTTAGCAAAGGGCTGACACCAGGGCGAAATGTCTAGCCGCCATGGCGACCTGGCGCCTGGCATTTGTCGAGCTTTGTGTGTGTATATGTGTGTGTGTGTGTATATATATATATATATATATATATATATACACACATATATATATATATATATATATATATATATACACACACACACACACACACACACACACACACACACACACACACCCTACTTTTGTCCCTGGCTCCTTATGTGCCTCCCCTAAAAATTAATCTTGGAGATGCCACTGTGGAAGCCCTCTAGTGGCTAACTGGTTGACAGCCACTGAGGGCAAACTTAGTGCTACAATGTAAACACTGCATTTTCTCTGGAACTGCAATGTTTAACCCCTTAAGGATGGCGTGCTAAATGCTGGCGGGCGGCATAGTACGTCCCCGCCGTCCATGGGACTAACCTGCTTGCTAGCGATCCCTCGCCGGCGATCGCGATGGGGGTACTTGCCTGGCGTCCAAAGCACTCCCCTGCGTCTGATCAGGCCCTCCTGGGTCCTGAAGTACTTGCAAGGATCCCACGATCACATGGACCGAATAGCCGTCCATAGCAGTGCCAGCAGGGGGAGTGCCTGGAATAACAGTCCCCCTGCTGCCTGTAATAAAGTGAAATAAATTTCTAAAACAGTGTAAAATAAAACAATATTAGTTTTTTGCATTTTTTTACACACAAATATTAACGCTAACTTTGGCCAGTGTTTGTGAAGAAGTGGCTACTAAAAAAGACTGGAAATACCCCATTTGCAATACTATTGCAAATGCTATGCCATCATGGGAGTCATTTTTATTCCTGGGCTACTATACAGTCTCAAAGGCAACATAACAAATCTTGCAAATTTCAATGTGAAAAAACTGAAAAATGGAACATGCTATATTTGACCCTGTAACTTCCTAAAACACCATAAAACCTGTACATAGTGGGTACTGTTTTACACATGAGACATCGCTGAATACAAATACGTGTATTTTATTGCAGTAAAAGCTAACAGTATTATGACATTCACAGTTAAAATGTCATGCAGAACTAATAAAATACAATTTCTTCATTTTTCACATATTTTTATATTTTATTCATATTAAATTATGTTTCATAGCTAAATATTTGATGTTAAATGAAAGCCCTATTTCTCCTGTATAAAATGATATATAATAAGTGTGGGTGCACTTAATATGAAAGAGGTGAATTACGGTCCAACAGACATATAGCGCAAATTCCAAGTTTTGTTTATGTTTTATTTTGATCAAAATGTGTACTTTTGGCTCAGTCCTTAAGGGGTTAACATTGCAGGACTAAGTGCAAAAGGGACACAGCTCCCAGACCACTTTAATGAGTTGAAGTGGTATGCGTGCCTACAGTGTCACTTTAAGCATTTCTCTAGCATTTTCACACTCATTATATAATCCTGGAGTAGTAAAGATCTATTAATATGTTATTTATGGTATTCCAGTTTGAATATGTAATACAGATGTAACTGTTGTAATATAAAAAGTTTCATTTTCAATCACATGTTAATTTGTTTTATAATGTTTTATCTCCTGCTCTGTAAATTGAACTTTAATCCCATACAGGAGGCCCTCGCAAGGTCTAGCAAGATAAAAACAGTGCAGGAAATAAGAAATTCTAAATTAAACAGAATTTGCAATAAGTGAAGTGTAAACATTAGATGTCCTTACAGTAAGTGTTCAGGAATCTGTGTGCATTAGTTGCAGGGAGGTGTGACTAGAACTGCATAAACAGAGTGATTTAACTACTAAATGGCAGAGAATTCAGCAATGAGACTACAGAGGGATTATCTATACAGCAAAACTATTTCATTAAGCTAACGTTGCTTTGTTGACAATAGTGTCCCTTTAAATAAAACAGTCTCCTAAAGAAACAAGAATATGGCCTTGCTTTTTCACAAAAGACCAGTAATTAGGTATGCATTGATTATACCATAAATTGTACAATCATTATACCTCCCTAACACTTTCATCTAATTTTCATTAGTTATCAAAAATGTTATTCATTTTCATTATAGTTTTCAATAATCAGTTTGTTTTTATTTAGTTATGGTATAGTTTCTGTCACTGAAAACATGGCTGTGACAAAAACTATACCTTTTTTTATCAAGCAAATTAACACATGGAATGTGAGTGAACATGCATTTCTGAATATGAGCAAACATGTATCAGCGAAAATGGGAGCAAGCCATCGTCAGAGAGAGAGCTTAGCCATCGTTCTTAGCTCCATGTTGTATGTTCTAGAGCAGTGGTTCCCAAACCAGTCCTCGTGGCCCACCAAAATTCCAGGATATATGAATTTCCCTGTTTTATTCTAATGGAGATTAAAAATTAAAACAGGCAGGCACACTCAAACTGCTGATAAAGAACAGAAATATCTAAATAGAAATGGGCTACTGATACTGGGTGTTCATAAGCCCATATTGCCAAAGGACAAAAAAGTTACATCAATTGTTTAAACAAGGAGCACAACCACAAATATATATGAATTTAAAAAAAAAAAATTATGAAATGGGTCACAATAATAGGCTCTCGTTAACTGTATCAATGAAAAAAGGGACACACAATGTCAAGTAGAGAGTACAATGCAATAGCTACAAGTTCTACAATTACATATAGACAGACTGCATTATGCATACTGTCTACAAGTATACAAAATAGCTATATGAGATACCAAATTGAACAAACACAAAAAATAATTTTATATATATATATATATATATAACGAAAACATAAGCATACCAGACCTAGTGAGAAGGACAAGAGTCAACCAATAAGCCCCAAACGTATCGGCAAAATGCCTTTATCAATGGAGCCTGTAGAGAGAGAGAGTGAACAACACCCTTATATACCCATGAAAAGAAATAATAAAAAACACCTGTGGTTTCCTCTTTGGGCTGTACATGTGTGATCATGTGTATGTTGGGGATTCTTTATTTATTTTTTGCTTCTTGATTTATTTTAATTTATATGCCTAATGCTTCCTGCATGCGATTTTTCTCACAGACACTTATTTGACTTCCACATGTGCCCGTTTGTTCTTCATGTGCTTTTTGCATGTGATTGTGTGAATGGGTACTTGTGGGACACTTATATATGCCTGTTCATTCTTTTGGCTTTGCTTGCTCAATTTTTTTTGGCTTTGTGATTTCGGTCGCTGGAACGCACTATGCATTCCAGGCGCCATTTTCGCGCATGCATGTTCTGTTGTCCGGACTTGCGATCTTGTTCGCTGGAACGCATTATGCGTTCCAGGTGCCATTTTCACGAATGCGCGTTTTACGGTCCGGACTTCCTTGCAGCTGAGCTGGGTTGGAACGCATGGTGCGTTCCACTGGACGTGCCCCTTCCTCATTCTTGGGTGGTGAGATGCATTGTGAGTTCCAAGCCTCACTTTGGATTCAATTTCTCAGTGTGGATCTGGGGAAACATTTAGCAACACTTGTTCAGATTTCAGATCCACTGCTGATCATTCCACTGTCATATTGAGGGGATGCCGGTCTTTTCTATGGTGGGGTAAAGTACTAATTTATTGGGGTGGATTTAATACAGTATATACTATAGGTTCTGATACTTATTTTTACTGTGAGATGTGTTTTTGTACTTATCATAAACAAGTATGTTAATTTTCATTTTGATATATCATGTGACATTTATGTATGCATATTTATTTTGAATATGTTGGCAATGGATTTATAAACTTTTTTTTTTGTGCTTTTTCTTATTGATTTTCTTGGCAACCATAGCTAACAGCTGTTTATTGTTGGGAGGATCTTAATCATTAAGGCTCCCTTGATAAAGGCATTTTTCCGAAACGTTGGGGGCTTATTGGTTAACTCTTGTCCTTCTTCTCACTAGGTCTGGTATGCTTATGTTTTCGTTATATATATATATATATATATATATATATATATATATAATTATTTTTTGGGTTTGTTCAATTTGGTATCTCATATAGCTATTTTGTATACTTGTATCCAGTGAGTTATGCATAATGCAGTCTGTCTATATGTAATTGTAGAACTTGTAGATATTGCATTGTACTCTCTATTTGACATTGTGTGTCCCTTTTTTTTCTCTTTCATTGATACAGTTAATGAGAGCCTATTATTGTGACCCATTTAATAATAATAAAAAAAAATTAATATATATTTGTGGTTGTGCCCCTTGTTTAAGCAATAGATGTGACTTATTCTAATGGAGACACTGACAAAACCTGGACTGTTGGTGGCTCTTGAGGACTGGTTTGGGAAACACTATTCCGGAGCTGTATCTGTCCAATGTCCTGAGTCCATGTCATGACGCAGATTGATATTGACCCTGTTAATACAGCATGCACCCTATAAACTATTTCAGATGCAAGACCTCTGCTCGTGGGCATTTGTCCTGACTGGTTAAAACGATATTTTAATAGGTATGTCTTAAAACTCTTGCCTGTATACGTAATGACAGAAACACTCTCCAGAACAGTGCACTCATAAATCTACACACAAAGAATTTATATAGATATATATATTGAGAGAGAGCAGAAATATAAAAACAAATCGTACAATATGTGTTTATGGTTTATATACATTTAGATACTATCATATAGGGCATTGTTTGTGAAATGCAATTATATTGTACCACCTTTAGATTGATAACCAAAATTTTAAGGTAATTAAAGAATTTTAAAAAATGTTTTCACAAGGAATGCAACCTTTTTTAAATTCTTTTTTTTTTTTCCTCATTCCTTTTTGGTAACCCATCTACTTGGGTTCTTCGGTGTGTAACAGTAATTTAAAGAGCACAGTAAAGTCTCAGTAAAGTGGTTATGGTTCCAGCAATCCTCTTAACTGATATATTTAGTTTTTTTCCCGAATCTGTTTTTAAAAAAAATATATTTTCAATATTTTTTTTTTTACTGTATTGTTTTTTTATTAACCCATTTCTAGAACACCTTCACATAATTTCATGATGCCTTCTAAACTGACCAGAATAGCAAAATCATTTTTTTTTTTCCAGTGCTAGGAGACTGAACCATTTAGACCAGATTTTGTGATGTAGCTATGAAAATATTTACTTTTTTCTTCCCTTTCTTGTTTTCTTTAAACCAACTGTCCCTTTCTGGGCAATTGTCATTCTCTGGAAATTACATTGGATAAAATACTGAAAATCATATATGACTTATGTTAACCTTTTTTCATGTGATTTTTTTTCATGTAATTTGTTTAAATTTATATTAAAATTAATTGTTTATATGTTTACTCTCATCTCAGTTAATAACCACAGGATACTCTATGGACGTGCATACTAGTTCACAGTGTATTCAGTTTAATCACACTGTCTTCCTTATTACAATGTTTTTTGCGTTCACCATTTTAGCACCAGTTTACAGAGATCCCCTTTGGACAGTTCTGGTTACCACCATGACCACACTTAAAATCGTATTCACACACATCTACATAGTAGAATTCATGAGGCAGGTGTTACAATCAGTCAAGGAATATGTTGGGCCATTAAAGTCGCCTATGAAAATCACTATTTAGATTCAGTTGACAGGTGGCATTTCCTTTTTGCCTTTCAGCAGGCCAACCTTTTGTCCGTTTGGCACACCACAACCTATTTGCATATAATAATAATATTTAACCAAGAAAGGTACTTTCAGATTACTCTGGTTTTCAAGTACATCCTGGGGATGTTACTTAGCCCAACATCCAGGGGTTGTTACCATTACCCAATTTAATAGTACTCAGTGGTATACATGTATTGCTCAAACCATATTACTTATATATGACTTTGTTCTGAGACCACAAACATAATACAAAATATAAGCAATCATAATATTAAAAATCCTGGGTAATTATATTTTCCTTTTAATGAATGTGACTTTTTTGACTTACTGGACCAGTAGAAGTCTTAGCCTGCTGTCTACACGTTAACCTTTAAAGGGACACTATAGTCACCAGAACTACAGCTTATTGAATTTTTTCTGGTGAGTAGAATCATTACCTTCAGGCCTTTTGCTGTAAACACGGTCTTTTCAGAGAAAATGCAGTGTTAACATTACAGCCTAGTGATAACTTCACTGGCCATTCCTTAGATGGCTGTTACGGATCCTTCCTGGGTCATGGCTGCCTAAAATGCATCCAATCATTCAGTGTCTCCTCCATCTGCATGCAGATACTGAACTTTTCTCACAGAGATTCATTCATTCAATTCAACTCTATGAGGAGGTGCTGATTGGCCAGGGCTGTGTTTGAATCATGCTGGCTCTGCCCCTGACCTGCCACTTTGTCAATCTCAGCCAATCCTATGGGGAAGCATTGTGACTGGATCAGGCTACCACCTCTGATGATGGCAGTGGGCAGGTCAAAAGGAAACAGTGACAAAGCAAGCAGCTGCAGACTTGAATACAAGTAAGATTTTACTATATTTAGGGAGGCATGAGGGGACCAGGGTGGCTAGATGGTGGTTTTAACCCTATAGGGTCAGGAATACATGTTTGTGTTCCTGACCATATAGTGCTCCTTAAAAATCTGAAACAATACTTCCTAATTTAAAAATGTGTTTTTAAAAAAAGTGTTTATCTCTTAATTCTGAGAATAACCTATTAATGATAATATGCATTGAGTACTTTCTAAGCCAGACATTTGTAGAATGGGATGAATTAATTGCTGGAAACCTGGATCAAATTAAAAAAATTGCACTACATAAGTAATGTGGAAAAGCTTGATAATAATTAGACAGACAACAAAATGCCAACAGTTCAACAGTAGTACAACTTTGTGTGTTATTGCTTTTATAAAAAATTGCGTAGATTTAATATTTGAGAAATTTGTCTCTGGGATATACCAGACAGAGACAGAACCCATTCTAAAAGGAACACTTTAAACACATCAAGTGACAAACTCAGCGTATACAAAAATAGCATACTTTTATAGCCTGATTAATCTTCAGAAATTCTTGGCGAACTCTGTTAATCCACAGTTTCATCACTCCTAGCAACGCTAAGAAGGTGTCTGCTTGTGAAAAGGCATTGCTGCATCTGTCGTTCTAGATACCCTTACTCATTTGCTGCTGACGAATTCAGTAAATACCTTTATAATTGTTGATTGGTTGATGTCATTAACTATGGTCATCAAAATCCACTGATCTGAAAACTTGTAACTAAAAATTGTGGTTACCAAAACTATTTTGTGTTTTTAATCTCTTAGCAGTCATTCTAAAAAAAATTGGAAAAGGTATATATAATAAAAACTCAGTCTGTCTTAAATTGAACCTGTTATGACACATTCACTTTAACCCCTTCACTACCAAGCACTTTTTGATTGAAAAATGATTAGCATACCAATTATTTGAAGCAAGGGATGCATATCTACCATATAAATACATCATAGCACAACAATTTTGTGTATAGATTGCTCTCCAGACAAACTGAAAAATATGTAAATTTTACACCATTTTTATTTTTCAATCCTTTGGAAAAAATATTTGAGAAATGAAAAGCTTTGTCAATGATTGTGTAATATTTCACACAGGGCCTGAAATGTTAGGATAAAAAAAAAAAAAAAGCAATTTTTCTCTCAAAAAGTTATAAAAATAAAAATGGTTGAAAACCTTGCTTATAAGTATATGTAAGGATCCTGAAAACATTATTAGCAGTACAGCTTAGTAAACTTTGCAACAGAATGTAAAAAGAATGTCTGCATTTGAGCATAATGCCCACATTACGTATATAGAGTTAAATCATACATGTCTAAAATAAAGGTACTTTAAACTGCTATAGCAATCTTTATTAATTTTAGGAATGCTAATGTAATGCTGGCAGTGAAATGGTAAAAAAAAAAAAATACAGTTGAAGGAACAGTGCACACACAAAAACAAAAAATACAGTTTGAAATTTTACAAGGCTACTTAAAATCTTAGCAAACAAATATGGTGATTCAATTACATCATATGACCATATTGTGTTAAGCCCACCACTAAATCACAGTACCCCAATATCAGTGGATCATAAACTAACTTTAACATGGGAGATTTACATGTAACTTGCAATACTTACTTGCAACTTCTAGAGACTCTGATATGGATTAATGAGCACCTTTCCCCTTATATCCTGTGTCACACTACACAGTAGATTTAGTAATGTCAGGATGCTCTATTATAACAGGTGGCCTTTGATCCTGATTTGTATCTTCTTCTTATTTCCCCCCATGCACTGCATATCCTGATAACACCTTGTTGGGAAGTGTTTGTTTAATCAAGTAACACCTTTTGACCAGCTAATGCCAAATGTGCTTTAAGTTCTTTGAATATGCAATTGACAGGACATGACTGTATTATGTGAAGACAACCCCTTTTGGATGTGTACAGAATTTTGTTATAAGATCTGTGTTAACCCCATTAAAATTAGGTGTAGTATTCTGCCATACACTTGTGTGAATGAGTACTGCCCTCCGAGCTCGTATTTCTGCTGTGTCCATTCCTTGTCTTCATACCTGAGAGAAAACATTGCTGTCTGCTGATTTTAAACCACAACAGACTCCTTAATTTATGCTTTCCTGTGGTCAGTGAAATAATACAGTCTATTCACTCACCCCTCTCCTTGACTGTAAGAATTCTATCACCCATTCAAACTTGAATGGAGAAATGAGTTAAATTTTCAACAAATTTACTTTGTCATCTCAGTGACTGGTTGCTTGTGGCACAGACATGTATTCCTCTACAGGCTGGTAATCATAACTAAAGTATAAATAAGGGTGAGTAGATTTTATAGGCTAGATTTCATGCAGCAAAATATATGAAAATAAAAAAGTGCATACTCGATTTCTATATTGAAGGGGTTAATTTACTTTTCAAAATAAATATATTATTTTACTTTCAAACAATTTTCATTGAGGTATTTGCAGTACACAGGGGATTGGCATTAAAGCGGCACTATCATGGGAAACCTACCTTTCCCTAATCACTTCCTCTTCTCTTTCCTCTCTCAGGATCTGTTCTTTTTTTCCTATCTAATCTAGTTTTCTTTAAAACATAAGACAAAGTAGGCTCTACTTTGTCTTATCTATATTTCCTACGCTTGACCAGCTCTGACCCACTTCCTGTGGGTCAAAGAAATTTTCCCACAATACTTATCCTTTCCTCAGTGATCTTGCGATGCCTGCTTTCAGTATTCCAGAACGTCCTGTCATATAGACAGGACGCCGGCGAAAATATCGAATTACGTTCTAATAGAATGACTACAGTTTGTCCATTCGTGTTAGGATGACATTCGGTAGTTTTAGGTTGGTTTGAAATTTCATTGGAATGAATGAAATTCTGATCCGTGATGCCGCTGAAGCTCATGGGTGGGGGCCAGTGAGGCAATAGGTCCCCCCCCATTGTCTTTTAGGGCCTCAATTTGCCGCTCATTGGAGGGGGCAGGGAATGACAATAGGTCATCCACCCCCATTATCTTTTAGGGCCCGCACCCACTGCTCATGGGCTTACCTTGGAAGGTGATTTACTCAACAAATCACAATGCTTTCCAATAGGAAAGCATTAGATTGGCTGAAATCGTCAATTCTGATGATCTCAGCAAAGGAGGCAGGACGGGGGCGGAGTCAAATGCCACCATTGCCAATCAGTATCTCCTCAATGCATCTGTATGGGGAAAGTTCAGTGTCTCAATGCAAAGCGTGGAGACGCTAAGCATCAGTGCTGCACACTGTACAGCAAGCATGTCAAACTTGTGGCCCACAATGTATATATTTGCGTCTCACTTGCCTTGGGGCCGCTTTGTGATGTGGCTGAGAACAGCCGCAAAACAGGAAAGATCTTTCCTGTCTGATTCTTGTCTTCCCTCCCACGGGCAATTGTGTGTTCTTGCTGCCCAATGGCGCAGAGTGTCTCTCCGTTTGCAGAGCAGGCCAGCCACTCCCCCTTCCCTCCTGCTCGCAGTGCCAGATGACAGTCTGGCCTGCTTGCAGAAAAGAGATGGAACGGGATGACAGGCGGCTCATCTAAAGGTAGGAGAAGAGGGGCTTGAGGGACCTTCCGGTGTAGTGTGTTAAATTGGGAAGGGGGCAGTGTATTAATTTGAGAGAGGGTGTGGGCAATGTATTAATTTGGGGGAGGGAGGGGGCTAGTGTATTAAATTGGGGGAGGGACTGGGGAAGTGTATTAGAGTGGTGGAAGGGGGGCAGTGTGTTAAATTGGGGGGAGGGCAATGTATTTGTGACAAGACCAATCTCGCCACTGTGCATTGGAGAAGCCTGGTTGCCTGCCTGCTGCCTTTTGACTATGGACCGGCATTTAAATACTTCATTTTCCTATGCAGAAAGGTCTATTCATGTATTTCTGCTCTGGATTTACTGAATGAACCCAGATAGCTATGCCATGGAGCCTATTCGTGTAATAAAAGACTTTGGCTCCATGGCAATTGAACTGTATGTGTGTGGTCTGAGAGCCAATCAGTAATAATGTGCGCTCAGACCTAAGCTATCTGGGGATATGTTGCATGTCTGTATTTTATGTAATAAATGTAACCTTGTGTATTTTATTGTATTTTATTGTCTTTTTACTGCCTGTGATTAATGGAGTTTTGCCTCTGTCCTTGGAGATAATTTGATTACTTCACAATTATCTCCAGGATAGAAGACTCTGTGGAAATGGTTTTGGGCAGAAAAGCCATGCTTCATTTGGTCACAAAGGACTTCGATCTATCTTTTGAACCAATGGACCAATTTGGATGATTTTGACATATGTTTGTATTTGGAGAATGCTGATTCTGAAAATGTTATGTGAATGTGATGCATACTTTTCAAGTTGTGAATAATGTGGAAAAACTGTATTTCTCTGGCTGTGATAATTACATTACCCATTGTGTAAGGTAATTGTATCACAGGCAGAGGGGAGGATTTCGTGTGGGAGTGTCTGAGTGTATTGTACGTGTTTATTGGTTGTTTTCCAAAACCCTGTGGGTGGTACTAATGTGTAAGAATGTGTACATAAGAACAATAAACCCACAGCTCTGTCTGTTCCTGCTTGACTCTCAAAACAGAGCCTTGTCTCGTTATTGGGGGATTTATTGTATGCTGTTCCAGCTCCACTGCTAGCCTTGTAAACCTATTCGTATGGTTTTTCCTATTCAGCTGTTTACAGTATTCGTATGTTGGAGAGCATTCATATGCTTCTCCGGTTCGGTGGATTGGTGTCTACAGTAGCTGCCTGTGTCTCTGGAAGGGGAAGATCTACTAAACGGCTGTTTAGCCCCTTTTATGCCTGTGGGTGCCGTTACAGTATTAATTTGAGGAGGGAGGGAATCAGTGTATTAAATTGGGGGAGAGAGTGGGCAGAGTATTAATTTGAGGGATGGAGGGGGCACTGTATTAATTTGGATGAGGGAGGGGGCCAGTGTATTAAATTGGGGAGGGGCTGCAATTTATTAATTTGAGGGAGGGGCAGTTATTTAATTTGGGCGAGGGGGGACCAGTGTATTAAATTGGGGATGCAGTGTATTAATTTAAGGGAGGGGGCAGTGTATTAAATTGGGGGTGGCAGTGGGGCAGTGTATTAGAGTGATGGGAGGGGGGCAGTGTGTTAAATTGGGGGAAGGCAATGTATTAATTTGAGGAGGGAGGGAAGAAGTGTATTCAGTTGGAAGAGGGAGTGGGCAGTGTATTAATTTGAGGGATGGAGGGGGCACTGTATTAATTTGGATGAGGGAGGAGGCCAGTGTATTAGATTTGGTGAAGGGGGCAGTTTATATGTCACGGAAACCGGGACCCCTGAGTGCCTGATGAAAAGTTGGGAGTCTCCAGCGTGGAAGTGGATTATCAGGGTCTGGTGCAGGGCAACCACACACCCTCTGGTGTTGAGCACCAGCGTTTGCGTGGCCACATACCAGAACCTTGATGCAGCTACAGCAGATCCCAGGAACTAGGAGCTTGATATGCAGACCTCCCAGGAACTGGATAGGGGGGCTCTGCAGCGGACATGTATCCAGAAGCAAGGCAAGACTAGGATAGTCACCAAACATAAAAACAAGACAGAACTAGAAGAACCCAGAACCAGAGAAGGATAGGAAGCTAAACCCAGAACATATGCACAATACATAAGGGAACATTAACTAAATAGGGGCAGGACAGGACTGTACATGGACTGGGAATACAAACTAAAACAAGACAAGATATGATAGGCAAAACAAGAGGAGACATAACTAAGCACTATATATGAAAAGTATGGGGATTTAGTTACATTATATGATCATACATTGCATAAGCCTGCCACAACGCCAATGTTCCCCATATTCGGCAGGTCCTACACTGCCTAATGTTCGCTAAAAGAACCATACTAAACCACAATAGCACTTACCTGCAAGAAAGGGCAGAGACTTAAAACACTGCTGCAGGTCCCAACTGAAACAAAAGGAAAATGGAAAACAAACGGGTGTGGCAACATAAAACAAACATATAAATGAATGCAGGAGACTGGGAATTCCAGGGACGGAATAATGTAATGAACCCAGAAAACCCAGCATAAGCAAAAAACAGACATGGAATAGAAAACCAAAAAACCAAGAAAAACTAAACAAGAATTGTAAAAAGAGTACTGGATACCAGAAGCATCACCAGACTGATCCGCAGAACAAGGCATGATGTGACATAACTCCCCTCTTAAGGAGCGACCTCTGGGCGCGACAAGCAGCTCTCAGGCAGAGACCAGGAAAGAAGCGAGTACCCAGCAACTAAGTCCTCAAGACTTACCGGAGGCAAGGATACCCCTACACAGCAGGAAAGTAGTTTGCGGCTCACAATGCCATTCCGAACTACTTTACTTCCTTTGAAAAG